AACTATGTTGATTCATTGGATTAAAACGTATGGGTAAGCGTGAATAATTATTGATCCCCTAAATCCCACCCAAGACCCCTTGGCCTGCTCGGAAAATACGAGGGAGAAAAGAAGAAGGAAAAAGGAAAAAAAGCCCCGACCCTGCACGGTGGTGGGTAAAACGGCCGTCGACACATCATCGTTCTCCCAGAGAGTATACACGACACGTAATTTTTCGCCCGAGCAAACCAAACTCGGCAAAGCAAAAACCAGTCAGCCAGACCAGGTATATGTACTATATGTACACACCCGAGAAAAGGTGCGAAGAAAAAAAAAAAAAATGGGGGGTGTGGGCGCTCGCGAACTGTATATTTGCCGCAAACAGAATTACACGTACATGTATATACAGGTACACCCAGAGTGGATACTCCTTTTTCCGCAAACGCGGGAACGGAGCGTGTTTATGGCGTGCGCTAGAGTTGCAGCAAAGAGAGCCCCCGCCCCCACGACATAAACATATCGGCAAACACGGGTGCCTTTTCTTTGTCTCTCCCTCTCTCTCTCGAGAAAAGCGAGAGAAATTGCCAAAATCGATCGACATGCAGCCAACCCCGTTGGCTCTAATAGCTCCTGTACACCCCAGTGCAACTGACACTTTTATTGCGCGGAAACTACATCGAAGAGCGCTGCTGGTCCGCGTAAACAAGACAAAAGACGGAGGGAGGGAGGGAGGGGGTTAATGTAACAAAAATTTTTTAAAAGCTTTGCTTTCTACTTTTTTGCTTTATAATTTTTTTGACCATTAATATACATCGAATTTTGTCAGTATTAAAAAAAAATCAGAAACAAATTAGTGTCTTCTTAGTGTACATTGCATGTTTGCTCGTTTCTACTTCCCAACAATATAAATATATATTGTTATTATATAATATCTCTTTGCTCGATGTCGTTGTTGACAATACTTACTATGCCTATATTTTAGAGGATTTTCATTAAAAAATTTTAATGGACTCCTTAATAACTATCGATGTAAATTGTTAATAGACTTTACGTAGATAATCAGCCGTAAATCTGTCTTATTTCACTATGTGTGCTATGCATCACATTAAACTGAAACCCGGTTAGATTTTACGTAGATCACTCGTTAGACTGGAAATATCCATGTAAAATAGTAAATATTTTTAGTATCTTACTGAGGGATAAGTACAACTTATTACTGTACAAGTATAATCATTTTTATACTACCACAAAAACAGAAAGGATCAAGCATTCTTTCGCAGTATTATCATAACAATTTTAAATTAAAAGATTTGAAGTTAATGTTACTAAATTCATTTGTTTTTATGTTTTTATATAGCTGAGAGTATCTTATAAAGTTATCAATTATGAATATAAAGCTGTAGTGATTTGTAATTTCATTTTTTAACAATATACATGTTGAATATACTTATAGTAGCTAGCTGTTGCATACGTACAAATGAACTTTCGAGAGTTGATTTCTTATACCAAGAGCTAAGGTACAGAAAAGGCAAAGTACCAATACCTGCTACTTTTCTCACTGAATATGAGAAACGTCATGATTTGTGGAGATCTAAAGTATTTTTACGAAGTAACCTTGCTATATTGATTTATATCGGTACATAAAAATTTCTAAATACACAAAATTAATACCTGTCTCCACCAGGCCTAATCAATCAAGAATAAAACTTTGTCAATGAGAAGTGACATGGCAGCAAAATTGGAATATATCAACTAACCGAAAATCGACTTTAAAGTGAATGGACCTCCCACAAAAAAACTTGCCACTACTCTGCACAACGTTTTTTAAAAATAATTTATACACAAAATTAGAGTGGCAGCAATTTTGGGACTCAATATCAGAATGAATTTAGGTCAACTTAGTCCGTGTAATTCGAATAAGAGTATACCTCTATTTCTGTGTATATGTATAATAACTAACAAGTTCTGTTATACAGATCTATCAATAGTATACAAAATTTTCACCACATAAACATTTTTTGTTTAAAAAAAGTGTGCGTAATTAAAGGCACGATGATTATTATCATAAAATTTTCTGCAAACAATAACTGTTTGGTAATACAGTTATAAACTTAACTAATTTTAATTGATCTCATTATTTTTTAAATCTTTGATTTTGTTGTAAAATATTTTTGATTAACCATTATTTTATATTTTATGTATAGTAAAGGCACTCATAGGAAAATTGAAGTATTCGCTAAGTATGGAAATATGTCGATGGAAGTTTCAAATAACTACCACTGTATTACGTTCTTTGTGTTGTAGTAATGATTCTGTATTGGATAGGGAAAAATGTTGTTATTCCATTAATAAAAATCTCAGTAAAGAGTCATTATCTTTCATGATTGTACGGAATACATTAAACTCGCGAACCTTTTACTTTAGAATAAATTTAGCTGTTTGTAGTCATATTTTACAGTTTCTTAGTTTTAAAAAATCTTACAAACGAATAAAACCTAAGTCTATTAACCTTAAACCTGCCAACATAAACCCAATTATTTCAAACCCAACAATACCAAATTTAGACTCCCCTAACTTAACCAGTGCCTAAAAAGTACCCTTTTTGATTTACAAGCAGCAAAATTCACCAAACCCTTGAGGCTAAAATATGAATAGCTTTTTACATACAAAAAATTAGATCTCATTAAACAACCAATCTTGTCAGAAGGAAGAGAAATAAGTAAGTACGCAGGCAAACGAGTATGCTGATAGGCAGGCTAGTAAGAGAGCATGCAAGCAAGCAGATACAGTAAGCAGACAGGCAGTCAGATGGACTGACATAAAGGCAAGCAGACAGACTTGTGAGAAATTCTGAGACCAAATTCAGATTCAGTGTACCAAAAATCTTAGGGAAAGCATACGAGAATTTCAGTTTCCCAATCTAAATCAAATTTTGCTTGGCCCATGCCTCACAAATTCCAGAATTATAGATGGGTTTTCCTACTTGCGGATTAAAAGGAATATTTTCTAGGTATGGCATTTACTGTTTATGATTATTTAGTGAGAGGTGAGTTAAGTTAGTAAATAAACTTGTTTATTTTGTAAAACCTATTTATCAAAAAAGCTATACATATTGTGGCCCAAAGGGTTAGGTGGATTTTCTAGCTTGTCAATTAAAAAGATTGTTTTTTAGGACTGGTTGCGTTTGGAGAGTATAAGTTTGGAGCTCTTGGGTTTGGACAGTACAAGTTTGGAGCTCTTGGGTTTGAGATTGTTAGATTTATGTTTTATTTTTTAAGTATTTATAAATTTGGATTCTCTCTTACACTGCATGAGTGTGTGAATTGTAGGATTTTTTAGCACAAAGAAACTTCAAAATGCGATATCTCAGCAAATAAAAGATATGAGATCAAACTCAACCTGATTTAAAAGGTTAAGGCTTGTATTTCAAGATGCTTACAATTTCGTTTTCGTTAGTTTCCAGAAAAAAAACTGTGTTGCAGTGATACATAACCTTCAGAGTGGCCAAAAACATTTTTGCACATTAAGGTTATAGTATCTCAAAAATTAGAGCCAACTAAGTCACTTGGACATCAGACACAGATTCAGTGCACCAAAAACCTTTGAAAAAGTATACCCTTGTTTCTGGGTCTGCAATTTGACAAAATTTTTTAAGCCTGTGTGTTACTATAAATTAATGTTTAAAAATTGCATAATCTTATGATTTTATAAGAAAATAATATCTTAAAAAGAATGTGCTAAATTTTTTTTTCAAATTAAATTTTTTAGATTCGTACAACTGTTCTAGGATTATGACAAAATTTTTAAAAAATATGATATTTTCTGATAGGTGACGACTTGCGTAAATTACTAAATTTTTATTTTTATTCTATTTTATTCTGTTATATTTCATTCCCAATGATAAAATTTTAAGACTCTTTACAGAGTTATACTCAACGAGAGTTGTCGCCTAACAAAGCTGACTGTGTACTTCGTGGCTCTTAGAAGTGTCAAGTGACAACCGAAGCGAGCCATGAAGCTTAAACACATGAAGTCAGTAAGTACCGGCCCCATAGCAAGTAAGACAAAGAAGTTTTAACCAAAACTTCGTGCAAGGTGCATTTCTTTGCGCGGCGTTTTAGCCAGTAGCCCGCTGCCGCTCATCAAGTGCAGACGTAATAACTAATTTTATAAGATTAACCGACGTTCCGTCTTTTTTTTTCTTTTCTGTTTCCTTTTATATGTATACTAGTAACATAAAATAAAGTGACATAAAACTAATTGGAAAAGGAATTTAAATTATTATAAAATATTAAATAACAATTAAATGAATATTAAAATAAATAATTATAAATCGACGGAAAGAGGAAGTACAGGTCATCCGGATTAATAATTAGCGAAAAAAAAGGTAAGTTAATCTGGATATTATATTCAACACTCTACTTCTTCCTTCCTTTTAATTTTTCTTAAACAAACAAATAGTTGGACTATCTGCTGTCCCGCAGCCTGTGAAGGGCGTGAGACTGTAGTCCACAGTTTTTAGTTTTTGGTTTGATGCTGAAAACAAACTTAAATGACATTAAACGTTATTTAAAATTTTCTATACCAAAGCGTATTGGGACGGATGATAAAAAAACTATGTATGGTAGATCAATTGTAATCAAAGATAATCGGTTGTAAATTTTTATTTTATGACTAATTTTTTTTTGTTTTGTTATTTTGTCGAACAAAAGGAACATGATCAAGTTATGATTGTTGGTGCCAAAAATAAGCAGCGATTTCTGGCCTTATAACTAGGGGTTTGAGCTGTGATGAATACGTCCATGAAAAAATCAAAGTCAACTGACAATATTTCTAAAACTAAAAAATAGCTAGTAATTAAACTATATTATACAATTTTGCATCTTAAAGTTTATTGTCCAGAAACTACGATAATAGTAACTGAGAGTTTATTTCAATAAAAAGAGGTAATAATAATTTTCAGTGTACGTTACGTCATCTATTTCTGATAAAAATAATGAAATCAAGCTAATTTTATTTTGCCATATATTTTTTCTACAATTCTACGTAATTGATCAATTGGTTTTTAAACAGTAGTACAAAAACGCCAATGTATACCTAACGATATTCGATTTTTTTTGTTAAGTATCTTAAAAAAAAAAAAAAAAATGGATCACGAATTTTTTGAAGGTTTCTTCATTCTAATCTTTTCAAAGAATCAAGTAACTACCTGAAAACTAAGTATTACAAAATAATGTTTATCACGAGAAAAAGAATAAGCATTCATTAATGATTTATTTGTGATACTATTTATCCATACTGATTGTAGTTTCATCTCAAAATTCTCTTGGATAATTTAATTTTCCAGTGCATTCTTGTCCGTCGTTGGATTCATCTGGAACTTCTCTTAACATTACAGATTGAACTAGCTTGTACCTTTTAAAAGGACTGACGAAGACGAGTTTTCTTTTTTTCTTTACATAATTAGCGTTTCTCATTTCCAATTTTTCCTGTTAAATTAACATTATAATTAAATTTGTTTGGTTTAAAAAAGCAAAAATAATATATATTTTCATAAACAAATAGAATTTAAGAAAAAATATAGTCAATCAAATAATGAAGAAAAGAACATACAAACATCAGATTTATATATTTCATAACAATATCCTGTTTTTATTATAGTGAAGATTTAATTTTTATTTAAATTTCACACTATCCTTTTACTTACTTATATTTCTATGTACGGTTTTAATCGTTCAATGTCCTTACTATTTTTTACTGTATTTAATTTTAGTTATACTTTCGCGAGTACTAAGCCAAGGTTTTTTTAATGAAAAAAAAACTAAGTCAAGTGTGTAAATACTTATCAATATTTTTTTACACACACACGTGATCGCGCGCACCCTCATACAGATATATATGTGCACGCAATCTAACTAATGTAAGATTGATTTGATCAATAGTGTAGGGAAATTAGATTCCCCCCTTTGTCAAACTACAACTGAAGTATAAGAAATGTGTAAATTTGATTTATTTAATATTAAAAGTAAGGTAATTGTGAATGACAAGCTTAAGATTTTTTGAATATTACGAAATAAATCGTTTCTTATATTTGAAAGAAAATCACACAAAAGGGTAATTTCTTGGATTTGACTATAATGAGAGATCCAAAACATTTTACTTTTGACTGGTTTGAAAAACCTACTTTTTCAGGACGTATTTTGAATTATTTTTCAGATCATCCAATTGCTTATAAAAGAAATATTGTATGCAACTTGATTAATAGTACGATTTTACTTACTAGCAAGAAATATGATATTAAGAACGTTGCGAAGTTGAAGCACCTTTCAATAAGTAACAGTTATCCTACGAAGTTTCTTAATGAAAATATAGAAGTTAGATGAAAAAGATAAAAATACATCAACCATAGTAGAACCACTCCAAATGACCATCGTACATATAAAATTGGTATACTACGTACTGGTAATAATTTCAGTAAAATTTCTAACTGATTGAAACCTCACAACATTCACACATAAGCTCTTATACATAATAAGCTCAATAACGTCATTCGTTTGGGAAAAAACTGACTATCTCAAAGAGACAAACGTTGTTTACAAATTCCACTGTAAAAACTGTCTGGCGTCTTATGTTTATGAGACAAAGCGAGCGACTGAAATACGCATAAATGAACACAGAAAAACGAGAAACTTTATTCTGTCGTTCATGCTCATAAAGTCGAATTCACCTATGAGTTTGTTTGAAATAGTGTAAAAATACTCGACAAAGAAGCCAACTACAACAAGCGAATTATTTATAAAATTCTCTCTATAAAATTAGACAGCGATAACATCAGCAAGAAGAAAGATTTACTATACTTGCACATAATATCGTAGAGCGTATAGAATCATCTATAATTTATTTTAGTCTAATGAGGACACAAATGGTCAGCGAAACGTTGCTGTATTAAACTGAGAAATAAAAATTCTCCAGGTGTTATTTCTTTAACCCAACCCTACAAGAATATTATGATTACCAGTAAAAATGGAAAACACTTTTTTAATTCGATTTGAACCTTTAACCTACTGCACACTGGACAGTGGCTCCACCAATGGAGCTATGGGGGGTGGAGCAATTACTATACTAGTAGTGATTCTGTAAAAGTTATCAGAGTATGTTTTGCCATTTGAAAAAAAAATTAAATCACACTCTGTGTGTGTGTGTGTGTGTGTGTGTGTGTGCGTGCGTGTGTGTGCGCGCGCGCATATGTGAAGTGTACTTTCATTTTTCCCCTTACCACCTAGATCTAGATGAGATGAAATTATATCAGTTTTTATGTTATTTTGATAGGGTTCGATTGTTATGTGCCCCTATCCATCCCCCATTGACCCCCTCAGCCACCAATACAATTTTGAATGATCCTCCTAAGCCCTCCTTTAAATAAGAAGAAATCCTATGTGTTTTTACATCTTTTTTTTAATTAAATTTTCGATTTTCAATAAATGCACCACCCCTAGAGCTTTTTACACTCTTAGGAAATCCCTCTCATACCCTTTACAATTTCTTAACACATTTTCTTAGTATACCTTCAAGCTCCTCTCACAATTTATCAGTACCTGTTCACTTAAGAGTGAAAATATTAGGCTGGCTTCTCTGTACAGCTAGCCTTTGTCATGAGAAGGACGGACTGCTTTGGGAATTAAGGTAGGGACACTCACGTACATTGTTTGAGTGTATTTGATGCTTGGTGCGTGAGTTTCCCCCGCTACTCATAATTACACGCCACGACAATTAAGAGCTCTGGTGCCCGGTACAAGCTCGGCTCTAGCTCTCTAGCCTTGCGAACTTCGAAGCGACAAGACCTTCCCGCGAAGCAGTCCCTCCTTCGTCTAAAAGTTCAACGGCAACTTCTTTACACCTGGCGCCGGTGTCGTGCCTTTTTTTCAGCAGACTCAGATAAGACAGTCTTCCGTTGTTGTAACGTATAACTATCGTTATAGCGTTTTCTTTTACTTTAAGTACTCAGCAAACGAGGCATATAAATTTTGTTTTCTTTACTGCCCGAACGACTTGCTCAATCGTCGACTCGGTGCAGACATCATTTGATTTATCATTTACTTGTATATATTTCTTTCGCGAGCCTTCCTAGTATTTTCTCTTTGTGAAACCTGTAGCATTTCTTTGGTGAATAAAAGTTTATTGTTTTTTTAAAAAGAAATTCTCTTCGTTGTCGAAGTGAGTTCGTTGTGAGTGTTTCTAGTAGTAGTCGCTGCATGCAAAGTGCCATTTTTTTTTATAACCATCTAAATTATCTCGTTTCAAGATTACAAAATTTTCACGTCGCATTTTAATTACGAATTTTCTCGAGCCACGAGAAAAGCCCAGCAAACACAAACAGTACCTTCTCTTAGACCTTCTCAGCACTATATTAGCCATTCTTTGTTTAAGGTCAAAATGTTTTGATTTTTATGTTATTATGATCAACTTAAATATTTTTTCTAGCCGTCCTCAGCCACTTCCCACCACTATTTAACTCCACGTTATAAATTTTTATTCGAATGTGATGACTATTTTATCTGTATGAATTGTTAGCACATTTTTACACCACCATTGAGGTAGTATTATGGCACGCTGGTTTTTATTTTTAAATTTTCAATAAGTTTTTTCTATTATATCAATGAATGTGTATAAGAACAGTACATGATATTTTCATACTTAATCAAAAAACAACAAATAAGCTTATATCTCAAATATTTCAATGAAGTTTACCCGTCTATCTCTAACCTAGACCATGCGCAACCTACAAAGGAAAAAATTTGTGTGTAATAAAAACTTCACATTATTTACAAAGGTTGATGTACTTATTATTTCAATACATATGTTTTTACGTTCTAACTTAATGTTTTAATATTACAAATATAATTTGTTACGAATATCATTTGTCAAAGTAAATCGGTACGTTAAATTTTTTTTTTTTTTTTCAAATTCAAGACATTTAAAAAAACTAAACAGTATACGTAAGAGTTTTACTAACGTACAATAATACAGTATAATTTTTGTTTTGTTGTACGTTTAAAAAATTCTATTAAATTTAAAATAATTAGGAAAGTTTTGCTTATCATGTCACAAGGTAATATTTAAATAATAATTTCATGAATTTTATACACTTACTTTTTATTTTAATAAACTGCGGAATGATATTATGTACAATGTCATACCTCTGCAATGGAAAATGTATAAAATTTGAATTTTTTTATGTACTTCAGAGTCAACGTCAAAAATTGATTTCCAAACAAAATTTTGCATATATTGTTATCACGTTTTATTTGAATACAAATTCTATTTCCACTTTTACACCTTAATAATGCGACGTAAAATTGGCCAAGCAAAAACAGTGATTTTTTCCCAGTACGGTCCTATTGTAACAGAGTTAATTTCTACAGTGAGTACACGTATGCTGTGTGGTACACTTTAGTCAGTCTACCACTAACAGTTAAGTGGAGCTCATGTGCTCATACTGTAGAACTTATATTTATGTCTTTATTTGAATATACTTTTATTATAATAGCTTAACACATGTTTAATTATTTAGACCACCTCTCTAAAATTATAACATGGTAGCAGAGCGTAATTATTATTATTTTTTGTTTGTTTTCACAATCACTGCTTTGGCAGCTTGTAATAATCAAAAACTAAGGACACTCCACGTGAAAGTGTCAATCAAACACCAATAAGATCACAAGAGTGGTCGATTGGCATATGTGTGCGTGAAGTGCGTGTTAAGTATATAACTAATATGCCAGTAATCCAGAAGTGATAATTGAATACAAAAGCTGAAATGTTAGTAAAGGTAAGTGAACAAGAAGAATTAAGTGCAGACAAAAATAAAAAATACTGAAGAGAAAGTTTCGTGAAAATAACTAAAAAAGTACTTATAATAAAAAAAAATTCTAGAAGATCCGAGCGAAGTATAAGAAGGCTGAAAGAGCAAAAATAGACAATGCTCTTATTCCCGTACTTGGCGAAGAAGAATTCAGCAGTTAGAAATTTAGATTACTGATCCTAATAGAATACAGAATGTCAACAACAAGCTATTCGAATGAGAATAGCAGCAAAAACAGACGCCACATGGAATAAAAATGACCTTAAAGCAAGAGCGATAATCACAAGTTCAGTATTGAATAGAAAACTCAAGTACATAAGAGAGTGCGAAACAGCTTATATGATAAAAACATTTGATAAATTGTACAAGACGAAGAGTACAACTCTAAAAATTATAAACAGAAGGAAAATTGAAGACGTAAAGTTCAAAGATTCTAAAATTGTCGAAGAACTCAAAGCTGCAGGAGGAAATATTAAAGAAACAGAAAAGATGAGATACTTCATAAGAGGATTGCCAACAAGTTATAGCTACATCGGAGACTTTATTGATTTAATACCTGACGAGCAAAGAACAGTAGAATAAGTTTAACAAAAGAAGTTGAAGTGAAAAATAAAAGTGATTCTAGCA